CTTTCTTTCTTTCTTTCTTTCTTTCTTTCTTTCTTTCTTTCTTTCTTTCTTTCTTTCAGATATAGTTAAAATAACCACCTTGAGGAAGTAATGTTTGATTCCTTAAGTGTGAGAAGGTGAAGGAGTTGATGTTTTTTGATTGTGATAATGGCTTGAGTTGAAAGCACAGAAACAAACAAAAAACAAACCAAGCTCTCTCTTATTTTGGATAAGTCTTTAAGGTGTTTGGAGCTGTGGATTGAGTGTAGGTTTTAGACAAGGTGTTTGGCATGAGAGGCACAGTGGGACAGAAGCGATGAGAGCTGAGATGCGGCACTGATGCTCAGAATGAGGTGTATTTTCTCAAGTCAGTAAAAAGAGATGAGTTAAATTGAATTTAGTGGGGTTTTTTTGCCATATTGAAGGAATAATTTGCATTTTGTTCACAAATGTGTGAGCCTCATTCATGTTGCTAGAGCTTTTTCCTTCTCTCCCCTCACCTCTCCCTTCCTGCTTCCTTCCCTTTTTCATATAGCCCAGGTTAGCCCGGAACTTGTACCATCTTCCTTTAGTCTTGTGTGTGCTGGGTTATGGCATGCATCAGAAGAACCTGTGTGTAATGTGACATAATTTGGTCCACAGTTGTGATCATGTTTTATCCATTTTGATACTTATTAAAATTCCCCAAGTTGCTTTGCCTCAGCTCTGATAGCTTTTATTTCTAAACTCCTTTCTGAATGCTGCCCTGTACTTATTCTCTGGGCCTGGGTGGAAGTTGTAAACAATGGAAAGCCTGCATGAAAGGACTTCCTGCATTGTTATCAGTGTGTTCCTTGTGAATGGCATCTCTTGGCCCAAGTGAGTACCTGTAATACTGGTTACACCCCTTGAGCTATGTAGGGCAGCAGCCTTGGCCGTTGGACATAGGGTTTTTTATTTTTAAGTTTTATTATGTATATAATATTCTGTCTGTATGTCTGCAGGCCAGAAGAGGGCATCAGACCTCATTACAGATGGTTGTGAGCCACCATGTGGTTGCCGAGAATTGAACTCAGGACTTTTGGAAGATCACGCAATGCTCTTAACCACTGAGCCATCTCTCCAGCCCCTGGGCATAGGGTTTTATTTAGGAATCTGCCTGCCCCAAGTAAAGGCCAGATAGGTGAGCTGCTTGGTGGCACATGGTCTTTAAAGACAAGTGCTTTTATCATAAAGGTATGCCACCTTCTTAAAAGCCAGGATCTTTAGATGTGGGACTTTAACTTCAGAAGAGCCATTGAAGATCACATCTGCTCCACTTAAAAGGAAGGTGTGAGAGCCAGCATGGTGTGACACTCTTGGAAGGCTGAGGCAGGAGGATCATAGGCTGCAGATATCCTGGGCTGTAAGAGTGAGGCCCTGTCTAAAACCAAAAGGGGATGAGGAGGAAAATGTGGCAGCCTAGATGAAGGAAGGTAGCTTGAGAATGTGTGTAAGGCTATACAGCCCTGTTTATACCAGGGTTGCTTCCTGTTTCTATCACCCAGCACACACCAAGCCCATGTTTTCTGTGTTGGAAGTGGTGAAAATACCTATATTGTTACATACAGGCGTTCGCTTCATAATCTAACTGCTGGTTTCTGGTGGATAGGCTGTACCAGTGCAGGGCCTCATTTTAATCCTCACTCCAAGAAACATGGCGGACCAGCGGATCAAGAGAGGTGAGCAGCATGCTCCATGTGCACGATAGTGGAGAGGCCACCTGTGAGACAACCGAGTGGTCTCCCTACCTCCGCTTTTGTATTTGTTTGCACTCATCCAACTTCCCCAAGTGCTGGAATGGTTTGTTTTGGGTAAAGGTCTTGACAAATGGAGTCTCTGAATATGACTTAGTTTTGCAGCATTTATTGAAGATGAACTAATACAGAAAATGTCAAGGGTAACAGTACTGTCAGCCACTAGTCAAGTCACTGTGTAACAGGACACTAATGCAGAAGCTAGTTGAGACTCCATTTATATGTGAAACCTCTCAGGAAAGTCCTAATTTAAAGGACTGGCTTGCTTTTAAACTGGAGGCCTGGGAGGGAGCAAAGCTTTGCTTAAGTATTCTAACTTAACTCAGGTGAGTTCATCCTTTGCTTCAATCCCTGAAATGAGAAGTATGTCCCAGATCATGGCTCTTCCCAGAGCATACTTTTAAACTTGATCGCTGTGTTTAGGGTGTCCATGATTGCCCCCTTTACAGTTAAACATTTCGTTGAGTGTAAGATTTCATGCTTTAAAATTTGTTTCCAGACTGCTGTCAATCTGGAAAAGTGGTCATGTTGGTTATGTATTGTGCACTTCTTAGTAATTTAGCTCCTGAACTCTGCTGATGTGAAAGAAGTAGGAGCAGTGCTTACCCATGATACTGTTTTCATGTTAGGCATGTGGGAGACCTGGGCAATGTGACTGCTGGAAAGGATGGTGTGGCCAATGTGTCCATTGAAGATCGTGTGATCTCACTCTCAGGAGACCATTCCGTCATTGGCCGAACAATGGTGGTAAGTTTTCGTATTAAGAACATATGTAGGATTTCTTCTAACGTGCTTATATACCTTTCCATTACTTCATGATGGTAGACTCGTTTCTAAAGAATCACATAAATTGTTAAGAGTTCAGAATAGGAAAAAGGTTTTATTGGATATGATAGTGAAGTCAATTTGCCTAGGTCCATTAACACTGTTCTGCTGAGATGTAGTAGAAAGCAGGTTACATTTGATCAGACTGAGTCTAAGTTGAAGAAACAGCCAAATTTTCTTGCCATGATTGCCCCCTTACAGTTAAGACATTTCGTTGAGTGTAAGATCTGCGATGGATGTCAATATTCAGGTCTGTAGGTTATCATCGCTTGGTTACCATATGGGAGCCGTCTTCCCAAGTTACCCTCGGGAGCTGAATCTGGTTCATGCAGAACAAGCAGTAAAGGCTCTTGCCCAGCTCAGGCAGCTACCTTTTCAGTAGGCACTTCCTTTCAGCTGACCCTTTATCCTTAGAATTTTCTTCAGCCCTATTGGTGAAGCAGAACAGTCATTTATAAATGTTCTAAAAAATAAGATTTAAAATTTTGTTGCTAAATGAAGATATTTAGAATTGCTTCTTATTTGTAGGCCTGTAGTTCATTGATATGAGATTCTGATAGCAAGAAATTTTGGGGTACATATGTGTGAGGATAACACCATGTGGCTTGGTACAGTCACTTGAGTCTTCAGTATTTCATTTAGAAACAGTAACATATACTTATTATTTAAAGGTAACATGTCTTTGCCACTAGCAAGGAAAAACTTAGTTCTTTGCTCTTAAATACTAGTATAAATATTAGCTTAATTTACTAATAGATTTGAACATTTTGTAATGTCAGTGACAATTTTAAGTCTGTGGTATTGCCAGAAAGAAGTGCTAATTAATTACTTGATTGCCCAAAGCTAAATGTTCCTATTCTTTTCAAAGGTCCATGAGAAAGAAGATGACTTGGGCAAAGGTGGAAATGATGAGAGTACAAAGACTGGAAATGCCGGAAGCCGTTTGGCCTGTGGTGTGATTGGAATTGCCCAGTAAACATTCCCTATGTGGCTGAGTCTCAAACTCATCTGCTATCCTGCTAAACTGTAGAAAAAAAACCCCAGAACATTAAACTGTAATATTAAAAGTGTAACTGTGTGACTCTTCTTTGATTGCTGAACTTGTAATGAGAACTGATTGATGATGCTCTGGATATGTGTGCAGTTCTATAACTCACTAAACTGAAGCTGGTCTCCTGTCTATTTTCTGAACTTAGTTACGCATGGGTATGAAACTCAAGTTAATTCTCATTTAAACCTGTGAGTAAACAACATGTGTGACACTTATTTTGAGCCTATTAATGTACACAAATATAAACTTGCAGTTAGTGCTTTACATATATTAAGCATCATCAAGAGTGAGTGATGCTAACTTTCATAGTACTTCGTTTTGAAAGTGTTTTGTATGGTACTGTCAATGTATGGCTGGCCTTCACTGTGGTAGCACAAACCAAACTTGGTCTTAGAAAATATGTTGCCCTTCATTAGTAGCTTCAGAGAAATTACCTAAAGCTCTTCATTTAGATTCAAAATAGCTATTTAAAATAAAAATATTTAGAAATTATAATTTAAGAAAAAGCCCTTTAATAACGTGCATTGAAATTGTAAAGGCAATTACCTACTCTAATTTCCAGGCGAAGCTGGTGCCAAGCTTTGGTGCTCTGGAAAAATCAGCAGCACTGGGGGAGGGAGAGGAAACCAAATTGGAGGTTCTGCCTAAATCCGACTTTACTACACAAGTTAACGAAATTGAGTGTCTTGTATACATGCGTACCCAAGCAAGACTTCCTTTTAAAGGAAAAACTGGCTTAAAGGAAGCCTTCCTTAAAAACTTTTTAAAGGAAAAAGTGGCAATCTGGAATAGTTCATTCAACTGAAATACTTTTGACAGTCAGGTGTAAGTCATAGTCCTATTCATTCACAATCACATACTTTTTAAAATACAAGTCGTTGGGAGACTGTTAAATTGGGAAAGTACTAATTTTGGTGTTTCCAAGCTTGAAAACTGGAATGTGCTCCTAGGTGGCTCTGCTGAAGTTCGAGGTAACTGTCAGATTTCTCAAGTGGTGCTGAGTGGGGTGACTCAAATGCAGATAGTAAGCATCTGGTGTAGTCACAAAAGCTCTGCTTAGGGGTCATTTCTCAGTATTTTTACTTGGAAATGCAAGCCTATTCTTGAAATCTGGGCACTGGATAATCGGATATTTTTTCAGAAGTATTCTAGAGCAAAAACTTAAAAAATCTAAGTAGGGTCAGCATAAAACTAAACCCGGAACAGCTGCAGACATAAGTCTCCCCATTATCACAAAAATCTTGCATTTAAAATTCAAGTGAGATCATACAAAAAGGAATGTTTCATAGGACCTTGCTGTTTTAAAATCACATTTACCTATTTTTAGGTAAATTTAGCACACATACCAATATTTAGGGTATGTGTACAAGAGGAAAACAAGTTCTTCCGCTACTTGGGTCCCAGGGATCAAACTGAGGCCATCAAGGGTGGCAGAAAGTGTCTTTACTGGCTGAGTCATTGTGCTTGTCCTTAACTTAAGTTTAGGAAAAAGTACATTCAGAATGTAAATCAGTGGTTCTCAACCTGTGGGTCAGAGCCCCCTTGGGGGGTGGGTTCCACATCCGATATTTACAATTCAAAACAGTAACAAAACTACAGTTATGAGGTAGCAAAAAAATAATGCTGTGGTTGGGGTCACCAAAACATAAGGGGTCACAGCATTAGGAAGGTTGAGAAGTGTAATACCTGACTAACATTAAGTCCTTGACTTCTACGTCAGCACTTTTCAATACTATTAGAGTCTCAGTATGTAGTAGCAAAAAGCTCTGTGTACTCTTGTGTTGTTGAAGATGAAGGAAACAAAGCTTACAAGAGATGTTACACTATACCTAGTCTATAAAAATGCTTTCTGGTTGCATACATTAACCTCGTCTTATACCTTAGAAATTTGAACAGAATGATTATAAACAACACACTCAACTTTCTAAATAAGTGATGCCCAGGCAATCAGGTAATTTGTAGTGTAATGTGTAATGTTGGGAATCCAATTATTTCTCATAGCAAATCTCTCTTTACAAATTAATTATGATAACATTACCACAAAGCCAACGGGAAAAAAAGAACACAGGTTTCTTAGTTTAACATTAAGTTCACTAATTTTTACCTTATAATCAAACTATGATTAAAATATTAAAATAGAATTCATGTGTCTTTTTTCCCCAAAAGTCTAGACTCTAATACATTATCAACAGCTCAAACTTTGTTAACAACCTTTTCCACCTTAATGCAGTGTATGAAGAATAGCACACATTAAAGTTTGTTACGAAAATAGAGTTTATTAAAAACATCCCTATTGTTTGAGGAGCTTTCACCGTTACCTTGTCTTAAATTAAAAAAAAAATAGAGAGCACTTCTAATTAGGATTTGTAAACTTTTAAAAGTCAAAACTTTTAAAAAGTTACAGCAAAAAAGGGTAATATATTTTCAGTATTTTTTGTTATTTTGTGGCTATTTTTAAATAGAAGGGAAGCAATCAAATTGCTTACAGTCCCCATCAACTACTGTGGGGTAATGTAGCAGGAGCAAATATTATACAGCATCTGTACACCTCAGCTCTACACCCAAGTGTCACTGCCACATTCTGTCATATCCAGTCTCTAGCGAGGAGCCTCTGCTGCTGAGCCAGAATCCTTTTCGGGTTCAACGGATGAGGTAGCCTCAGCAGGTGACTCTTCAGATTTTACCACTGTGGCCACAGCCTCCCCCTTATCAAGTTCTGAAACAGTGTCTACGTTTCCCACTTGGCTAAGGGGAGGTTCACTGGCTTTGCTACCACCTGCCCTGTCTGTTAGCTCGTGCTTCTCTTTTCGATTCTCTTCCTTCTCTCTACGAGATTCTCTGTCTCTAGAATCCCTGTCTCGGTCCCGATGCCCACTAGAGCGCCTATTTCTCTCTTCCAAGTCTCTGTGTCTGTCCCGGTCAGGGCTTCTTCTTCCCCACTCTCTCCTTTCACGGTTACTATTATCTCTATCATCATTACGGTTGCCATAACGTTCCCGGTCATTTTCCACCCTATTTCCAAAAGATCTTCTTCCAAACCTTTCTTGGTCTCTACCTGAATTGAACTGCTGCCTGTTATCATTTCTAAACTGCTGTGGCTGCTGCTGAGCTGGTGCTGGCTGCTGTGACGGTGGTGGCTGCTGTGGCTGTGACTGTTGTGGTGGCGGTTGCGGCTGTGGCTGCTGCTGCTGTTGTTGCTGAGGCTGTTGCTGCCTTCCATCTCTATCTTCTGGTCCTCCTGGGCCTGGGCCTGGGCCCCCAAGCCCTGGCATTCCACCAGGCCTAACAAAAGGGCTATGTGGTGGAAAGGGCCCTTTCATTCCATGAGGTGGGGGCATAGCAAAGCCCCCTGGTCCTGGAGGCGGACCTCTGTGCATCATGTGCGGTGGCATGGGGCGAGGTGGCATCATAGGAAACCGTTGCAAGTGAGGTGGAGGCATCCCTGGGGGGCGCTGGAGTGGGATCATGCCAGGTCTGGCACCAAGAAGACCAGAAGATGGTGCCTGGAGCCCAATTACAGGACCAGGTGCAACTCCTTGAGTGCCTGAAAAATAACACAAAAAATGTTACTATTTTTAGCTGTCTCTTGTGTAAAGAAAAACACAATTTAGTCCTGAATTGGTTTCGCTCTGAATTCATGCTGAACTAACGTCACATTAGTGAAAACCAAGGTCAGCAATGGTAGACTCATTGTTTGGGTACCCAGTTCAGGCAGAAAACAAGAAATACTGAACGAGGAAATTGTAGTATTGCAGTTCTTGTCAGTCTTCTCTCAGAAGTTGTGACATCTAACAGTCCTGGGTCTCAATGAGATAAAAGTCTATATTCACTGTCAGCATGTCACGACAGCGGGGTGTGTTCTCTCAAGTGTACAACCTGATCCCACGTCTTAATGTGCCCACTCTGTTAGACTACTTTATGTAGTTATCATGCAGTACCCACCATCACTCCAGGACCTATGATAAAGATCCATACGAACAGAAAGCTTAGTTGTTTTTTTTCCTAGGCCCTGCTCAAAGTGTCATCTACTAGGTCAACATGAGGGCTGGAATCGATCCTTGGCCATATACCTTCTACTCTTTTCCCAAAGTCAGTGAGACTGACATGTTGATACTGATTAGAGTCACTAGCTTGCTGCCAGTTTCTGGTTTGTAGGGAGCCTGCTCATCCTGGCCCTGTAATTATGTAAGTTCAACCCAGCATTTACAGGAGGGAAAAACAAGGATTTCTTCGGGTCCTGATAAACAGATGCCACATCTATTTCTTTTCAAATACAAAGAGCAAGTCACTATGATCAAAAAGCCATTAGAAAAGGCCCCAGAGGGGCTGGAGAGGTGGTTCAACGGTTAAGAGCACTGCCTGCTCTTCCAAAGGTCCTGAGTTCAATTCCCAGCAACCACATGGTGGCTCACAACCATCTGTAAAGAGATCTGATGCCCTCTTCTGGCCTGCAGGCACATCTGCAGGCAGAACACTGAAAATACTGTACACATAATAAATAAATCTTTAAAAAAAAAAAAAAAGAAAGAAAAAAATAAAAGGCTCCAGATAGTAACAGGTAGCAGTCACATCATCTGCCCATGTATCGAAGTCTCTGAGGAAGACTGGGGTTATGACCATCAGCTGACGATGGTCATAAATGCCTTTGTGACAGAAATACACTGTTAATTTTAGGTGTGTAACTTGAGTCAGTATTGTAGAAAACTAGCAAGTCCTGCAAGTGCCTCTGTTTTCTGTATGCACCAGTATTAAGAAGGAACCAAAACTCCTACTTCAGCTGTAAACCATGTACGAGCCCATTCGATGCATGAACATCAGCTTCCAATATTTTAACTCAGCCACATATTTACTTAAACAACATAGTCCTCTGAGTACACAAAGATGATCTAGTCAGGAGTTGCTTTTTTTTTGGGGGGGGGAGTTTCAAGACACGGTTTTTTACTATGTGACCCTGGCTGTCCTGGAATTTGCTGCTCTGTAGATCAGGTTGACCTCAAATTAAAGAGATCTGCCTGTCTCTGCCTCCCCAGTGCTGGAGTTAAATATGGTGAATCACCACGCTTGGAGTTACTTTTGACGTGTACCTGTCACTTAAAATATGTTAGAGTTCAGGGCCAGCTGAGGTTAACTGCAGATACTATCACTCGACACATTTTACTTAGTGACTAAACACATTTTAATTTTGTTGTTGTTGTTGTTTGTTTTTCGAGACAGGGTCTCCCAGTAGCTTTAGAGCCAGTCCTGGAAATTGCTGCTCAGAGATCACCACCAGGCTGGCCTCAGAGATCTGCCTGCCTGCCCCCGCTTCCTGAGTACTGGGATTAAAGGTGTGCGCCACGACCACCCAGCAAGCAGATTATTTTATTTATTTATTTATTTATTGTATAGTATTCTGTCTGCTTGTATGCCTGCAGGCCAGAAGAGAGCACCAGACCTCATTACAGATGGTTGTGAGCCACCATGTTGTTGCTGAGAATTGAACTCAGGACTTTTGGAAGAGCAGGCAATTCTCTTAACCACTGAGCCATCTCTCCAGCCCAAGCATATTTTAAATGCGTGTTCTTCCAATATCAATTATAATTTAAAGTCAAGTTTAGTAGCTGAGAAGAATTTTAGGCCAATAACACACCCAATGTAAGGTTGTAAGTTGAGAAGCCCTGTAAAATGGGTAAATTTGGCAGGACTTTCAGAATGCCACCAGAAAATCCTAGACAATAAAAATAAGACAGACTATCAACTAGACTAAGACTAAAATATTCAAGTGGCAAACGCAGCGAGTGCTTGCAGTACAGTTATTAGAAAAAGTTTGTTCTCAAGAACTAAGAGAACCAATGCATACTGCTAGGTTGCTGTGGCATCTTCCCGTGCTCATCTATAGGCTCACAGGGACAATCTCAAAATGCTCTAAGTACTCAGACAAGTCTGAGAAATCAAAGTTAGACCTCATGCCGCACAACGGAGAGTCCTTAAGCACCAAGCACAGTGGGTGGAAGGCCAACTCCCTACCACAGAGGATAAAATGAGAGTCTTTATTAAATATAAGTGACTGTCCCTAGGACCACTTACAAGTCTTTAATAGGGTGGATTTGAAGATGCAGGAATAAATTGGGCCAATGTCTGCAGTAATTATGTATTTAAACCTCCCATAAAGTACAATTAAAAAAGACACAAAACACCTGCCCAAGCTACTTTCTACACACGGATCTTTCTTTTTGGTATTTATTCTAAATAGTAAACAACCAAATCCTTTTTATTTTATCAGCTGGGAAGATGTGTCAGAAAGGATGTCCTCGTGGGGTACAGGGAAGAAGTAACATTTATAGATCACATACACCACTGGCCCTCAGACACTGGGTAAACTCAGCTCCCTACCCCTTTAACTGCAGCTCCTTTTGCTATTTTTGCAATAAAATTGTACTGCTTCTGTAATAAAGGATATTATTAAAATGTATACGGTGAATCTTTTAGTAGGCACACAGGTGATGTTAACTTTCGCTAGGGAATCTAGGCTGGCATTACACACTAGTGCAATATAGATTCATGAAGTAAAAAAGATGCTGGCCATAATTATGTTTAATTAGGGTTATCTAGAATAGGTAAGTTTTGTAGTTATAAATTAAAAAAACTAATAAACCAAAACTTTACTATTAACTCAAGTTTGAGGATTAAAAACTTTACATTTCAATTGCTACAAATGACATAGAGAGGGTTGGGCTAACCAACAATGCGGACCTGAATAGGAATCACATAAGATTCCTGGGTGCCTGGGTTGGACAGGTAGACAAAATACAAAACCAGTGTGGGTAGGAGAGGGGGTTGGGAGCTTTCACAACAGCTCAGTACTCCCATGAGGCAGAGGGTGCACGGTAGCAGGACGACCTCAGATGCAAAAGAAGGAGATCCTACCCATAGACAAGGCTTGTGAAGCTGACCGGGTCAGCCAAGGCAATGTAGGGGCCTTGAATGCCATAATAAAGAATCTGGTCTTTGCCTATTTAACGGAGGAAACCAAAGAGGGATCATGAGCAGAGGATGATCCCGTTGGTTTTGATAACTTTCTGGTAAGTGGTATACAGAAAGCAAAGAGGGTCGGGCTATTAGGTTCTTACCCTCCAAGAATAACAAAAGACAGGAACTAGGGTAGGAGACACACTGAGGGCAGCTAGTGGGCAGGACTGAGTTCTGGAATTAAGAAACACAGATCTCTGCATGGATGAAGGTGTCAATGCAAGATCAAGAATGCAGAAAGAACAATTTTAGGAGATCAGTGAGGAATGTCCTATTTTAACAGAGCACCTTGCTGCATGTGTAGGCAGAAAGTCATGTATACACATAGGCGTTGTCAGGAGACTACTCGTTTGTTTTCCGGCCGTCCAGACCCTACCCTAATAGGTAGATTAGGGTTCAGCAGGCAGAGCAGAGTCACAGCATTAATATTGGCCAACATTAAACAAAAAGCTCAGACCTGGGGAGCTAACATATCACACTCACAAATTCCTAGTAAAACAAAGCTTGGGAGCAGGTTGGAAATAAAACATTGAACTGCCTGCCTGTAATTCCAGAACTCAGACTGTAGAGGCATAACGATGCTGGACTCCAGACTAGCCAGGGCTCTACAGCAATGTGGGTTAACGTGGTGGTGGTGGGAAAACAAACACAATCTCTCTGTAGTCTGTTTAACTTAAAACATACCACCAAACTGACCAATTTCCTAATGATCCCCCAAATGGCTGCTTCATGATTAAATGAAGACAGAGACACCACCACAATGGCAGAAGAGATCTATGACTAAGGGACAGATATCAGGAGGTTGCTCTCAACACTTGATGTGAAAAGGATACACACACACACACGGGCTTTCAGCAGAGTTCCACAGAGGGCATGAAACATAAATGGATCTTTAAAGAGCAGACGGATCTCCCATGTGCAGAGGTGAGAACCAGAAGCGCAAGTGTACACAGCCAAAAATCTGTCCCTCAATCTCTACTTGGCTAACATGGCCTTCTATTCCACTGCAGCCACCGTCTCACCTCTAGCAGGTAATGGAAGCTTTGTCACTCAATCCAAATCCCAACCAACCTGTCCAGGCTCCTCTCTGAGATTTCCTCAATTATCTCCTTCCTCTTAGTCCTCAATTCTCTCCCATCATAAATTCCTAGAAAATTCCCAACACTGGTATTTTTTTAAAAAATTTGTGATGCTGGAGACTGATCACAGAACCTCACACAGCTACGCCTTCACCCCCAATACTAATTTAAATTTGGGCCTAAGCATGGAAGTCAGTCAAGTCCTTCTCACCCCAAGCCAACTGACTCAAATTAAAGAAAGACTCAAATTAAATTAAAGAACACATTTTTTCTTTCATCAACAACTCTCCATTTTCCCAGTCAATTCATAGTCCCATATCCAGGGAATCTATTTCATAGGTTAACTATAACTATAGCTGGTTTGCTTTGTGGTTAACTTTTCCACATTCTAAATGTGCTCACACAGAAACTTCAAGCCTTTGCACATTCAGAGTACTTTCATTATCCTTAGAAGAAA